GAGTTGATGTTAATTATTGAGCTAGATTTATTAGTGCCGAAGATGATGAATTCAGTTTTATTTTCTTTTAGCATAAGCATGTTATTGGACAGCCAACTGTGAATGTCGTGGAGGCAGGTTTCGAGACGTGTTTGAATGAAATCAGAGTCAGAGGGATCAAAATCAATATAAATTTGGATATCATCAGCATAAATGTGATAATAAAGGTTATGGGACTTGATAATTTCGGATAGAGGGGATATGTAAAGGGAAAAAAGAAGGGGGCCAAGAATTGAGCCTTGTGGAACTCCATATTCAATAATTTGGGGATCAGATCTAATTTTGTTTATTTCTACAGATTGAGTTCGGTTAATTAGAAATGATGCAAACCAGTTTAGAGCCGTACCAGAAATGAAGAACTGTGAGGATAATCTGTGAAGTAGGATATTGTGATCAACAGTGTCGAAAGCCGCTGAAAGATCCAAGAGCATAAGGGCAACGACCCGTTTCCTATCTAGAGCAACAGTAATGTCATTGTGTATTTTAGCAAGGGCAGTTTCAGTACTATGACCAGTCTTATATGCCGATTGAAAGGGGTCAAACAAATTAAATTGAGTAAGATATGAAATTAACTGTAAGGAAACAACTTTTTCAATATGTTTGGCGAGATAAGGAAGATTAGAAATTGGCCTAAAATGCTGGAATTGTTGGGGATCAAGAGACGGTTTCTTCAAAATAGGGGTGACTACAGCACTTTTAAGATTATCCGGAAAAGAGCCGGTTTCAAGAGATTTATTGATTAAAGAAGCAATGGCTGGAGCAATACTGGCTCTGCAAGATTTAAGAAGTTTGGTAGGGATGGGATCTAATGAACAAGTAGCCGATGACGAGGACAAAATTAACTTCTCAATGGCATTATGGTTAACAGTGTCAAATGAAGAAAAAATGTAAGCATTGTTAGTGTGCAGTGACTCCAGTGGCGCAGTTACAATTGAAACATTAGATGGATGAGACAATGGAGAAAGCTGCAATTGTGATAAACGAAGACGAATATTCATGATTTTATCATGAAAGAATTTTTAAAATTGTTCCGCAAGCTGAGAGAGGTTTTCATGAGAGGGAAAACAAATTTTAGGGATGCCCTTTATTAGTTTGTTTACAAAATTAAACAACTTTTTCTGATTTCCCGGACAATCATTAATCTTACTTGTGATGTAACTGTTTTTTGTGTCTTTTAGTTTTTTGTTAAATACCTTAAGTTGTGTAATATATAATACTTTATCAGAATCTAATTTGGTGTTACGCCATCGACGTTCAAGCCGACGCAGAGATCTCTTACTTTCTCTGAGGTGATTGGAGTACCATGGTTTATTATTGTTTTTATTCCTAACAAAAATTTCCTTAATCGGGGCAAGATCATTTAGCATTGAGAACAGATTAGTATGCAGTAATGACGTAAAGTCATTTACAGACAGTGACAAATTATCGTTAACTATGCTAGTGCCCATAGCACTAACACAATCATTGAGCTTAACAATATCAATATTCTTAATGCTACGACATTTAATGCGGTTATCAGGTGCTAACTTCGAAGTAGGTACTGATGCATTAACAAGAACATTAAACTCAATAACTTTATGATCACTAAGCAAGAAACCAAGGTCATTAACATCATGAATCGTGGTGTGACTATCAGTTATTAATAAATCAAGCAGATTGCCTAATTTATGAGTCGGTTTGTCTATATGTTGCACAAGATTGTAGTCATTCAAAATATCTTTTACTTGACAAGCCGTAACATCATGAGGGTCCAATAAATGAACGTTAAAATCACCGAGATATATTGTCGATCTTCTGGAGTGTAAATAATAATCCAAAGATGACGCAAATTCATTAATGAAACTGTTAGTATTAGATGATGGGGGTCGGTATATTGCAATGAATCTTAAGGCAAATGCCTTCGACAATACTTCACAGCTTTCATATGACTGAGTTTGTTTCTCAAAAAGCTCAAATCCTAGATTTGACTTAAACAGTACTCCGACTCCGCCTCCTTGCTTACCTTTCCTTGCAGTATGGATAAAAGAGTAACCATTAGGTGTAACAGCGGTTTCAATTACTTTTTCATCACAATGAAGCCAAGTCTCGCATATAATTACGGCGTCGTACCTATGTTCCTCCACAAAATCGGATATTTCACCGGCCTTGTTACGAATAGATATCGCATTCATCAAACACACAGAGAGCGAATTCCGTGTCTTCGCACCTGTACACCTGTTAGAATGT